TGAATGAATGAACGAACGAATGAATGAATGAATGAATGAACGAACAAACGAACAAATGAACAAACAAACGAACGAATGAATGAACGATTGAATGAATGAACGAACGAATGAATGAATGAATGAATGAACGAACAAACGAACAAATGAACAAACAAACGAACGAATGAATGAACGATTGAATGAATGAACGAACGAATGAATGAATGAATGAATGAACGAACGTATGAACGAACGAACGAATGAATGAAATTAAGATGAAATTATTATCAATTATTTATTAGGTAATTATATCTTAATTTAAAAGTGTGTAGATATACTGTAGTAACTACAAAAAAAACTAAATGATTAAATAAAAATGATTGATAAAGGAAACAATGTTTTGTTTGGTATAGTTTTTTCTTGTTTTAGCAGGAATCTGCATCATTTTTTGTGAGGTCTGTGCTTAAAGAAAAGCACAATTTCAAAAAATAAACAATTGCATAATACAAATGAAAGAATTACTTTCTGAAAATTATTTTAGGTAATTATATCTTAACTTGTAGATATAGTAACTAAAACAAGATTTAAAAAAAATGTATAAAAATATTGATAAAATTACGGAAATTTCATTTTGTTAGATATAGTTTGCTTTTGATGCAACAGTCGTTATGGAAGTTACATAGACATAGCTAACAAAATACTGAAGAATAAGAGAAATATTTGAGTTCCTATTGAGATCTCTGACTGATGATTGCAAACTTTGTTTATTTTGTCAAATCTGAGCAGAGTTTGAGATCTCGATGAGAGATTATTATGGGTATTATTTCTCCTTAATCTCACTGCTGAGAGTTGATTGAGATGTTAGTGAGATCTCATTCCTGTCTCTCGTCTGCTGTTATATGGACGTGTTTTATTGAGCTAGAGTGAGATGTTTGAGTGAGTTAACGGCTCGTCTGTGTTTCTGCAGTGAACACGCCACACTTTCTGCATATCAAAGGCGTGGAGGTGAACGCCGGACAGACCGCTATGTTTCACTGCACCGTCAACGGAGAATGGAGAGACAGCTTCAACCTCCGGCTGCAGGTCAGACGCACAACTAACTGTGATGTGAACTATTACCAGTGCTGTTATAGGTTATAGCTGCTGAAGGAAGGTCGATTTGTTGCTAAGTGACGTGATGTCATTGTGTAACCACGACGCAAAATTGTGTCACAACATCAAACAGCAAAAAAAAAATAATATGCGACCCTAGAGCACAAAACCTGTCATAAGGGTCGTTTTTTTATTTATGCATCATCTGGAAGCTGAATAAATAAGCTTTCCATTGATGTATGGTTTGTTAGGATAGGACAATATTTGAAAATCTGGAATCTGAGGGTGCAAAAAAATCTAAATACTGAGAAAATCATCTTTAAAGTTGTCCAAATGAAGTCCTTAGCAATGCATATTACTAATCAAAAATTAAGTTTTAATATATTTAAAGTAGGAGATTTACAAAATATCTTCATGGAACACGATCTTACTTAATATCCTAATGATTTTTGACATAAAAGAAAAATCTATAATTTTGACCCATACAATGTATTGTTGGCTATTGCTACAAATATACCCCAGCGACTTAACACTGCTTTTGTGCTCCAGGCTCACAGATGCATAATATAATATTAAAATATAAATAACTGTATTTTTAAGTTTTTTTTTTCTTAATAGCTAATAAACTAGTAATACTACACATTCTCAACAATTATGCTTTAAGCAGTGTATTAGGAGTTAGTTAGTATGCTACACTCCAAGAAAAGTCTGTAAAAATATGGCACAATCTACTAAGTTAATATGAAATAATTTTCCGTATTGTTTTTTTCGGGTTACAGGGTTACAATGGATAATGGATAATCTCTTGGAAAATTACTAGTATCTTTTCCATTTTTCTTACAGTTTACTAACTGATCAACAATCGCAGGTACAAGCTACTAGCAAAGTGTATCATAAATGAACAATTATTCAGTTATTATTATTATTATTATTATTATTAAATTGAACAATTGCAAATAGCAGCTAACTCAATGCACGTGATGTGTGGACTGCTAGGCATCTTTGGTTTCCTCTTTTTGTGTGATTTGGATGGAAAATGTGTGCCTTTTTATTGTCTGAGTCACTTATCAAACATTGCTAAAAGTTGCCAAATACATTTTAAAAATTGCTACATTTGTTGCGAGGTACTTTTGGAAGAAACAGTTGCTTGGGTAAGTCTTAAAAGTTGCAAAATTTTGCAACAAAATTGCTAAGTTGGTAACACTGACTATTACTGTGTTAGTAATAGGGATGTAACGATATTATCAATATCGCGATATCAAAACGGTCTCGATATTATCGTGGTCACATGACGGTATGAAACGATAGGCTGGGCAAAAAGAGTAGTTTTTAAAATATATTTAAACTTCTTATTCTAACATAAAAGGTGTTTAAAGTTGTGTTTTGGGTCATTATGCTTTTGGGCCATTATGCTTTGGCACAGTACTGTATCTGTCAAACGAACTAAAACCGAAAGCACAATATGGCTTAATCCCTTCATTACGTCACTGTTTTCACTGCGCGTTTCAAAGCGTGCACTTCGTTCAGTCGATCAGCTCGTGATCCGGTGTTTTCTGCGTCTCAGAACGACTCGTTCACACTGAATGAATGCAGTCAACTCCTTTATTACACGTTCTGTGAGTAACAGTCATCAGTTATGCTTTATTTCAGCGGCAGATGACTACAGCGTTTCTCTAGATTTGTAGTGAGACGAGTTTTTGTAAGCGTGTTTTCACTGAAGCTGCCGTTTCCGTCAAAATAAAAGCTTAAAGTGCAGTTTATGAATTGCTGACAGCTAGCGGTTTAAATGCAGTCCAAATTCAAAGTCAAAGTGTAGAAATTAGGAAAGAAGTATTGTAATTTCCCTACTGTAGTGTAAAGCAAAAATAATATACATATTCATTTTCATTTATTTTACAGTGCAATTGTTTTACAATATGTGGCTACTACTGTCTTTGTTGTTGTTGTTATTATTATTATATTCTAATTTATTTGGCTTCTAAAACACCAGTGTGAATGTAATTTAGACTGAGAGAGTAGATCACAAATAAAGTTCAGCTACAAATCAATTCACTGACTTTTTCTGATTTAAGTTTTCTTAGTTAAGAAACATGGGTTGGAGCTCTTAATTTTGAACTCTTAAAGTGCATTAGATAGAATAATTTATCTTTAAAATTTACAAAATTTAAATTTTTTCCTAATTCTTCATTTGTCTTTTTTTTCTTTTTAAATATCGCAATAAATATCGTATCGTGGACTTTGTAACACAATAATATCGTATGATGAGGTTTTGATATTGTTAGTAATGATGACTTCATCATCTGCAGACCGCAGCATGTGTGTGTTAATGACTAATGAAGAAACAGCAGCTCTTCCCCTGATTTCTCTAAGAATCCGCTCTGAATGTCCCGCAGCAGAGCGCCTCATTAAACCCAGAGGCTCGTTTAGGGCCTCATCTGTCCGCTGGGACGCGTGACGGTTCGGCATCATTAATGAAGCTGCGTTGAGTTTGCCTTTCTTCTCACACGCAGAAGCTCTGATGCTGTAATGTCGTTACATTCTATCAGTAAGCTATTTTTTGTTTTCTAAACCTCCTTTAAAAACAAAATACATTTACTTAAGCAAAATTGTCTAGTAAGATTTTTTTTTTAAATATATATTTTGCTTTAAGTCCGTTTTTACTTGTGAAATATGTATCAGATAAAATTGTGTGAGACGTATGCGTAAAACGAAGAAAAATACAATTTATAAAAAATAAATAAATAGTTGAAAAATAAAACAATTATTCTCTTACAATAGGTTTTAATGTATTATGGAGTTTTACATTTTAGGTAAATTATATCTTAACTTAAGGGCGTAAAGATATAGTGACTGTAAAACAAGACAAAAATATTGAATACAAGTATTAATAGACATTTTTTTTTGTTTGATATACACTGTAAATATAATATATATATATATTTAAAAATATAATGCTGTTTCAGTCTTTATACTTCAATTTTTAAAATTCATTCCATGTGTTAATTGCCGTTCATTTATTTGTAAAATTTACTTGATTTACGATTTAATTATTTTTAAAATTCATTCCATGTGTTAATTGCCGTTCCTTTATTTGTAAAATTTACTTGATTTACGATTGAAAAAATTTTTTTCAAAGCAAATTCTACATCAGTTTTTTGTGTGTAATTTGGTTGTAATGCAATTATGTGGATATATAATGAAAAATCTTAGCCATAAATTTGTAAATAATAACATTTCATATTATACAGTTGAAGCCTTTTTCAAAACCATTAAGAATTTTTTTATTTGTGTTTTTTTTTTCCCGCAAATGACAATTAACACATTTATACACAGTTCTGTATGTCAGGGTTTCCCATTATATTTCATAATAACTACCAACAATAAGAAATTTTTTTGTTTGATATAGACTGTAAAAACATTTTTTGTTGTTGTTGTTGTTTTTTTTAAAATTGTGAATAAAACAACATTTATTGGAGTATATTTTACAACCAAAACAAATAGCTTTTCTACTTCAGAATTTCCCATTTCACTCTATGTCTTACTTTCCATTACTTTGTAATTAATTGTGAAATTTACTGAAAATTTCTAAGTGAAAACTGTTTCAAAACAGTTCTTCAAAATCCTTCGCTAACATTTTTTGTAGCTTGGTTTTGATGTTATGTAGATGTGAACAAAAAAATGTAATAATACATTTGTCAATAAAATTATTTTATTTTATACTGATCAGAACCTGTATTCACAAAACATTTAATCTTACCACTAAGGGTTCTTCTAAATAGCAGTAAAAGTTTTAGCTAAGAGTTTTCTCATAAAACCTAAATAAACGTAGAGTCTTTACAGATACAAAAGATGCATTACTCTTATCTGTATGACCAAAGATGACGAAATATTTTAAGAGCCAATGATCGCAGCCGCCATAATCATGCAGGAGCCCAAGCGTGCTACTGTTCAGCTTCCACGCTGACTCGTCGTCTCCGCAGTATGCGCCTGTATGCATGTTTCAAACGGATTACATAATCTGAGAATATTTGTTTTCTATTCGAATTGGTTCATTTAAAAGCTTCACTCTCTATAGATATATTTTTCATGTCTGTAATAAGGCAAGCATACACGGAGTTTCGAAGTGACGCGCTCAAGTTCACAGAGACCGAGACGGCAGAAAGAGCA